AAAGTATACACCTTTGGGAGAAAGCTTTGCCAATAAAAAACAGGGTCCCCTGTTTTCCTCTGTTCCCTTCCCTTTTAACAAAGGCCTCACAAATTTATCCCATCCACATCTTTCATTTACATCAGTCAACATATGTTAAACTCTTTTCTTTCTCCAGTGGGAAGTAAGTTGAGAATTCCATCCGGAACACAACTTTGCCAACCAAAATTAGGTGCCCTATTTTGCCCTGTTTCCATGGAACATTGCCTTTAAGACACTTGTTTTTATTAATATGCTTAAAGATGGACATTGAAAACTAAATGACAAGTTGTCTACTTCTAATATTATCAATAATAAGTCATTTTCAATTTTAAATGACTAATGTGCTAACTTCTAATATGTAGATAAATTAAAGTCCTTTGTTTATCATTCACACCGCATAATTGTGCAACTTGCATATCAGATAAGATTTGTGCAGCAATGGAGATACCAGTTCCCAAAGGAACAGATGCAAACCAGAAGCTGCATTCGTACTTACAGCAAAAGAGGTACATTATTTTTTTAGATGGAATTTGGAGCAATGATGAGTGGAATCATACTCAGCGTGCTTTACCAGATTTTCGCCCTGGTTGTAGGTGTAAGATTTTATTCAAAATTAAGTGGCCGGATTTCAGGGGCATTAATATTAATGATTTAATAGCAAATAAATTTTGTCCGTACATCAGGCTATGCTTTGCATCCACTCAACAATATTTCTAAAAAGTAAAATATTAAATAAAAATATTTACTATTTTCAACCCCCTAAGGTTTTCTATAATAACAAATTGCCCCCTTAGGTTTTAGAAATACAAAAATCCCCTACTGTTAGTGAACTTAGGCATGGCAATGGGGCGGGGTGGGGCGGGGATCTTATTCACCGTACCGATCCCCACCCTCAAAATCACTCTCCATCCCCGTTATGGGGAAATTGGAAAAATATGGATTTATATAAGTAGGATAATTGTGTAATTAGGTGAAATATAAGGGTATTAATGAAAAGTATATATATATTAATTTTATATATTATATAGGGGGTGGGACGGGGGAAAGGCATCACCCACCCCCACCCCATCCCCGGGGACGGGGATTAAAACGCCCCCCACCACCACCCCTATCCCCCAAAAAACCTGGCCTTTCCCACCCCATATGGGGCAGGGCAGGACGGGTCCCTAGAATTTCGGAGAATATTGTCATACCTAAGTGAACTTTTAATGCACTATTAGAATTTACAACATAATATGTTAATTAATATTTATCATATTACCGTTTATTTTAACACAAAAAATTTAACGACAAGAGAATTTTGTATTTGATTTTACCTCAAGGATTAGGCAATTGTATTCCACTCATGTATTTCACTTGCACTAACATACACGTGGTATGCTCTCATTAGTAGAGGGTATTGTATCAGGATGTACAAAAGACTCTGCTTATTACTTAAGACAAGGTGCTGAACATAAAATAACTACAAAAATAGGAAAAAAATTACAATATAATAGAGGTACCACATCATCCATACAACCTTCTAGTGAATTTGTGACACCTCTAAATTGTTTTCTCTCTCCTCTATCTTTAAATTAATTGGACTGGTAATTATAAAATCTAATAATTCCATGGCATGCATGTATTTCTTTGTGTATTTACCACATCAGCAATACTCCAATGGTACCATAGACTTTGTCAAGAAATTAAGGTTTTACCATGTCAGCACAGACACGATATAGCTCAAGTGTGCCTCAAATTCAGGACACAAAAAACATTTGCTTTGTGTCTATATAAATATGCATGATCAACAGCTTTATGTTAAGAGCATTTTCAACATGAAATGCTTTAATATCATAAGGTTTAATATAATGAATCTTCAACATGAAAACAAAAACTGACCAGAGACAATACTAAAAAATGAAATTAATGGAGTAGCATATATTCTGAAGAAAAGCTGAAAGCAAATAAATGAAGAAAACAAGAACAAAAGACCCTCTTCAACTGAGCGGAAATGTGGTCTCATTAAGTCCAGCTTGTATATGGAGGATGAGCTAAATCTTCATCAGGACTCTGGGCATTCTTAAACTTTGATCCTTCTCATCTGTTAGATTAAAATATATCAGAAAAATAAACTAAACAAAACAAAGGCACTGCCTTTAATTGTTGTTTGTTTCAAAAGAGGGAATTCAGAAAATATTCAAATATTCAAAACCAATGAATCCAACCTAACAAAATAAGATGTTATATTAGTAATGCATGATGGGGTTAATGCCAACTACACGTTCTGAAACTTCAGAAACTGATACTCAAATTGGATTAAAGCAAAAGAGTCTTCCATATATTGTAGAGTTAAATAAAGGGTACTTAAGCTATTGTAATGTTGTAAAAGGAATTACATACCATATTCGGATATTGATGGAATTTAAGTCATGATCTTTCCGAAAAGAGTAGCGATCTTTTGTATGGTGGATGCACCCGCACTCTGCGTGATTTTGGTGCGCTGAAGTCTCCTCTGCAAAAATTCTTCAATTTTGGACATTCTTCAATAGTGACTTCTTCCAAACATGGGAATTTGAACGCAAAATTCGCAGAGCAGAAGTATGACAGGCTTGACAAACAATGTAGCTCCAAAATTTTCAGTCGGCTGAAAACAATCTCTTCTTTTGTTTCTGCTTCCTCATTGTTTGATATTATTACCTCTAACAATGAACCGCACTCTCTTATTCTAATTGTCGTGAGGTTCACTAAACTTTTCGCTGTGGAGCAGGTTGATATGTTTGTCAATCTACAGCATTTCCATATATCCAAACTTATAATATATTTGAAAGATCCTGAGGATGGCATTAAGGATGTCAAATGATCACAAGACCGTACTTCCAATATTTTAAGTTTTGGAAGAAACAGCTTCCCCTGGGAACGTTTCCATATATGTTGTAGATGAGGAAGAGAATCGAGCTTTAAGATTGTTATTGGCAAAGATTTCACTTTCACATGGTGTTTCTGCTGATCAGATTCTTGACTTGGAAATAGCTCAATGAAATTACTTCTAGCTACAACTAGTGCTCTTAGCTTGTGGAATCTTCGAAGGAAATCTAATGGAAAGACAGGTGATTCATCATGAAAGCAGACCACCTGAAGATCTTCAAGTTTGTGAAACATCTTTCCTGAAAAATGGCTGCAGCCTGAGCATATCAATTTAATATCATCGCTGTTTATAGACAATTTCTCCAACTTCAAATCGGATATCACCTGAAAATCCCAAGTAGGCATTAATTAATGTTCTTCTACATATTCCTCAAACAAAGCTCAGATAAGCATAGAACCTCTGAAAGAAAATTTTCATACCTCTCCAGAGGAAAACAGAGGACGTTGAGTTTAGTTTTCGGATTGGCTTTGGACATGTGTATTTTGGAAGCTAAGAAGCTTATGACAATGATAAACCACCAAGCTTTTTAGCAATGGCAACTCTGTTGTGTGCGACCTGGGGTAGAAACTTTTGAGTTCTGGTAAATCAACAAGTTGCAAGAAATCCAGTTGAAGAAACTTAAACACAGCCGCCACTTTTACTTCCTCGTTGGCAACAATTTCCTCCAACCCACAAGAGTTTATCTCAAGCTCTTTAAGTTGCCGGAGACCTAAAGCTATAGAGACTGGAAAGAGGTTTTTCATACTCCAACATTCTGTAACCCTTACAATTTCTACATTTTGAAATGTGTGAAGTCTTTGCGGATTCTTTGATAATCTTCCGAGTCTGTCAGGAGGAACAAAACTGATTAATTTTCCGCAAAATTCAACTCTCAAAACGTTTAGTTTGCAGAAAGAATCTGCTTGGAGTTTATTGTGCCATATCAACTGGATGTTATCCAAGTGTGAGAGTATCATCTTCTCCAAGCTTGGACAATGAACCTGTATAACACGAAGCAGAAGATGAATAAGATGTCCATGTATTGTGTTAAGGTGAGCTTCTGGAAAGAAAAAAAAAATACCTTTTCATCAAAGAAAGGATGTATAACAGTAGTTTCATTCTCTAAGTTCATTTCTTCATGTTCTTTCTTGGAGAAGAATGTCTTCAAACTCTGACAACTCTTAATGTGAATTGCATTCAAGGATGGGAATTCAACCACAGAAGATAGGAAACATAAATTTCAAAGCATGACAATCCTTCACAGTCAACCTTAAAAGTTTTGGGAACACAACCTGCAGAAAGAATTCTTGTTCTGTAAACAAACTTAGAAATGTATTAAAATACCAGGAAAAAAAAAATAAATAAAAAAATAAAAAAAACAGAAGAACCATACCTTTTGATCAGCATGGTCTGTAGATTCTTCAATTTCTTCATCACCAAAAATCTCTTTTAGGTTCTTGCAATCAGTCACTTCGACTTCTTGGAGATGTGAAAGGTTTCTTGCCATGGAGATTGAGAAGACATGCTCCAACTCATCACATTGTCTAATTATTATGGTCCTTAAATTGGTAAAGGATTCTGCGTAGAGTCGACCTTCACATATCTTCTTCAACTTCTTCAATTTATGGAGATACAGCGACTCTAACACAGGAAAGGCAGTGTGACAATGAGCCGTCTCTGAGTTAAAAATATGTAAAAGATCCCCCCAACTATTCTGAACACAAAGATGCTTTAATTCTGGGAAACCTTTCTCTGAGTTGAGAGCTTCAACCACATCTTCAACGCCACTCAGTTGATCTAAGTAGAGATCTTCAACTTTCTCAAACAAAATGTCAAACTCAGAACTCCTGAAACTGTGACTATTGTTGAGTTTCAACGTTCTCGACGTTGTATATTTACCATACCATCCCCATTTTTCTCCAATAAGTATTTTATACCTTTCCAGCTTTTTAGGGTCGAACAAATTCTGTGGCATAATCATGGCATTCGGGATATGTATGTATAAAGAGTTCAGGTGAGGCAATTCCTTCAACTCAGCAAGAATAGCTTTACTCCGCCATTTATAACTATTAGCCATATATAATTCTTCCAATCAAGTCAACCTTGATATGACACTTGGTGTGATTTGTTGGAATTTTGGACAATTACTCAAATCCAGTGACTTTAACTTGGTCAAATCTCCAATTTCTGCAGGTAACACTTTAAAATCACAAAACGAAAATTTCAGAATCATCAATTCCTTTAGCTCTCCGATTATTCCTATATCGGTTAGCGAGCATCTGTTCAAACACAATGTCCGGAGTTTCTTTAGGCAAGAAAGAAGAGAAGATTCTGATGGTATGTTGATGCCACCCAGATATAGAACTTGTAATTCTTTCACCCCTTGAAAGAAGTTGTTTGGGATTTCTAAAGAACGATCTTGATCTTGATCCTGATCTTTCCTTAACAGCAAAAGTAGCCTCAGGTTTGGACAGTCCAACCTTTCAGGAAGCTCATTAATATCCCCATTAATTACAGACAAATGGGTTAAATCTTCTTTGGACATTGTACTTTCCAGTACTTCTCTCGAGTTAGCTCCTTCTGGAATACTAACATAAACCTGTCCCCCATCCTCAGCAATCGACACAGCAACACTATGCATCGTGTGGCTCATTTTAACGAATTTGTCATCAACTCCACTATCTAACAACAAACAGGAAGCTCTGAGATTATCAATCAATGAAAGCATAGTATTCCTTGCTCTTTTCAATGTATATACATCTCTAAACAAACCCATCCCCAATCCAATTTTCAACAAGTAATCCGTTGAGATTTTATCACCTGCACTAGTACATACCGCACAAAGCAGAAACAAGGATTTCGCATCCTCACTTTCCAAAAATTCGTAACTCAACTTCAAAATCCGATCCACTCCTTTGAAATTCTTCAAATCTTCCAAAATCTTTTGGCAGAAATAAAGGCTCCTATTATGTTTTAGTGCATTTCCAATTGCTTCAATTGTAAGTGGTAAACCTGCACATCGTTTAACTATCTCAACTGCCAAATCTGACAATGTCAAGTTTCCCACTATCGAGTCAAATAAATTCCTTGCTTCTTGGTAACTCAAAGCTTCAACAGAGAAATTGTTTTCAGTATCTGTGTAATTTCCCAACACTTCTTTACTTCTAGAAATAAGCAATACTTTCAATCGCTTTTGATCATCATCGAACTTCTCTTCAAAACCGAAAGGAATGCCAATGACCTTCAAGTTAATCGTTTCCCAAACATGATCCAATATAACCAGAACTCGTCTCTTCTGTCTCTTCAAACTATCAAGCAATCTAGCAGCCCTTTCATTCACGTTCGTCTCCGTTAATTCCCATCCCAGTTGCTTGGCAATGTCTTCTTGAATTGTTTCGACGTTCAGAGACTGTGTTATATCCACCATAACCATTTTATCAAATAACTTATCTTCCATGGCCACCGAAGCTACTTTCTCCACCAGCGTAGTTTTGCCCACATCGGCAAATCCATGCACCCCAATAACGTTAACGTTACCGGCCTTTAATGCATTGATAATCTTTTGTTCCACCGTCTTTCTTGAATCAAACGCCTTGTAGCTTGTATCGTGCAACGGTCGTGTCATATCTAAAGCACGACGCTGCAAATAAACACCTTCAAATTTCCCTTTTTGTTCGACGAGATCTTCACCAGTCCCTTTTGCTGTCTTGGCTTCCTTACTCGCCTTGTTAAACCTCACCAAATTACAAAAGAAACCTATGAAACAGCCTTTGTCAGCTTCCTCAAGGTTGGGTTTCTGTTTTTCTATGAACTTATCCACGTCGTCAAGCCACTTTTCTATGTCAACTTTTATCTCTAGATACCCAATTTTATCTTCCCCCTCTTTAACAGAACTCTCTACTTCATCTCTTGCCATCTTCAGCTTCCCAACTTCTTCTTTCAGCCCCTTAATCCTTTCTCTATACTGGAATTTATGATCAACCTCCTTGGCGATTGGCTCCCAGAACAGGTTTAAAAGTGTTGATGCACAGGAGGAAACTGCTTGTTCCATTCTGTAGTTTTTTTTTTTTTTTAAATAAATAAGAACACAAAACCGAGTGGCAAACAAACGATGGAAACCAGGGAAATTTTTAAAAGCAGACAAGGAAAACAATTATTCAAATAAAAGTTTTGATTCCACAACTAATATTGCAAATAACTTTGAGAAACAAAAGTTATTTGCAAAGTTGAAAGTAACCGAAAATTAATATGAAATGGATAATTTTTTTATTTTTTAACCTGAACGATGAGAAAAGGAAATAATATGAAAAACAATTTGAAATTTTTTTTTTGGGTTAAAAAAAAAAAAAAAAAAAAGCTAATAAAAGATGATAAACAAAACAAATTGACAAGGACCCAAGATTAAGAAAAATAAAATGATAACTAAAAGGCAATTAAACAAATAGTGTTCATCCCTATTAACAACAAAGAAAGAAAAGGAAATGCAAAGTAAAAATATCGATTTTTTTTCCTTTTTCAAAAAAAATAAATAAATAAATTACCCAAAACAAAGCTAATAATATGTGAAACAAATAAAAATACAACAGAGTTTGAGTTTCGAGCAAGTGCACCTCTGAGAGCTTGACAATGGATCAGAGATTTTGATTACAGATAAGGTTGCGTATGGTTAGGGAAATAAAATTTAAATTTGCTTGCATGTGGAAAATTGTGAAGTGGTTGACGGGTATATAAAGAGAGAAAGGAAACGGATGGTTAAGATTATTGGAATTGAAATGAAAGCGAGGTTGAGAAACAGCAAAGAAATTTAGTGAGTTAGTATAGTGTGTGGACCTATCACCCATGTGGTGGTAAGGTGATATTAAGATGGGAGGTGGAGTTTTTAACAAGAAGATCTATCTTTTAATGGCCATTATCTTGTTTGATTTAGAAAATAATAAAAGATTTCGGTATTCTATTACTACTCAAGTAATATGAGAGCTGATATAGGAGATTGTGTGATTACCTACTTAGAGTGTGGTATTTTAAAATTATCGTAATAATTTTATTTTTGTTTCAATTTTACTCTCATTTAATAAAAATTCTGAGTACAAATGTCTTCCTTTTTATGTCAAATAACAATTAACTCAACTTATTAAATGATTTCTTTAACCTTGTTAATTAATTATTTAGACAAAGGTTATATATATATATATAATCTTGTAAAGGGTATTTCAATAAGATAATAGTTATGTATTTTGTAATTATTATTAACCAAACACTTTAATTATTTATACAAACTCATATGAATCAAACACAATAATAATTTATATTCATTAACCTTCAAGCCTATTTATCTCACGCGTAACCCTATTTTTTTATAATAAAATATTATGAAACCAAACGTTTCCTAAAAACTAATTTACATTGACGGTGAAGTTCATAGTTAATGGTCAATTATAGTTGGGATACTAATTAAAACGAAAAAGATGACAGCTTGGCGTTGCAGCTGCAGTGATAATTTTAGATAAAATTAATTATAGAATTTAGTGGACGACATCATTTATTGTTCAGAATTATTATTATTTCGATGTTACTACAATATGGTCAAAAATAATTAGATCCTGTATTTAATTTGAAATTATATGTTAATAACCTACTTTGGAGGGAGATTTTTCACAAATGTAATAGAGTTATTTTCAAACAAATTTTCATAATATTATCACTTGAGCTACTCAAGGTAGGTGTGAATATCACATCTTAAATATTAGCAGCCACCTTAATCTAGTAAACACTCGATTACAAAACGACCTTCCCAGAAAGACTTGGCCGTCGTTTTTGCAGAGAAAATTTTGTATAAATGTAATAGAGATATTTTCAAACCAATTTTAATAATATATAAAGATGCTTAATTTTGATAAATTTTAGTAAGAGTTAACGACCTTTTTCCACCCAAAAAATGGCTAAACGATCCTTTTCCACCCTCAGACTTTTAAAATACTACTTTACCACCCAAAAATTATTTTCCTTTTTCAATTTCCATTAAGTACATTGTGAGGATGAAAATACCACCACCAAAGATTAAACCCCAATCGCCGACGATCACAACGCACCTCAACCAAACTCCAACACTGGAAATCGGCTGTGTTAGGAAAGCAATCGAGGTCATAAAACTTGGGGGTTTTGTAGGGGAAGGGTCGATGAGTCCGTGGGTGGTGACAAGAGCGATTTTGGCCGTCAGAATCTGGCTTGAACAAAGAGAGGTGCATGTTAGGAAGAGACCGTGCACGTTGGCGACATGACAACCAATGGTTTTTGCCCTTTTTTTGTTTGATTTCAACGTCCAAAATCACTTCCGAGACCATCTACAAACTCCTCACAACCTCCTCTACAAAACCCACACCTTCTTTTCCCTCCATATCTTCCTTTTTCCTCTAGTTTTTGCACTTTTTTTCTTCCTTTAATTGCCATTTCTAAACCCAAGTCCAGCCAACTCTGACCACCAAAATTCAATCTACCACCGCCAAAAGACTCACCAATCTCTCTATTACAAAAGCCCTAATAAATCATACCACGGTCACTCACCATTTGTCGAGGGCGGCCAAAAAAAGGCTGAGAAATTACGGCAAAACACTAGGGAAGGAGGCTTCAATCAGTGGTGTTAGACATGCAATCGAGTTCGGGAAACTTGGGGTTTTTTACGCAAGCACACTGGTGAGTTGAATGGCAAGGTGGGGGATGACTTACGGAGGAGAAGGCGGCTGGTAAAAGGCTAAGAAATTACTGAAGACGGTCGGTGTTTTACAAGTGATTGATGAAGCAAAAGACCATCATACCCTCACTCATAACTGATTTTTTACCATCTTGCCCTTCCTCACAACGAAAATTTCTAATGGTGGTTAGTAAAGTGGTATTTTTCTGAAGTCTAAGGGTGAAAAACTATCATTAAGCTATTTTTTTAGTGGAAAAAAAGTCCTTAACTCACTTTAGTAATTACATAAAAAAAAAAATAAAAAAAATCCTCACACCTACTTCTATATATTAGATGAACATCACATCTTCTTAAATACTGGCAACCAGCTTATTCTAGAAAAGTCTCAATTACAAAAGGACCTTCCCATAATACACTTGGCCATCGTTTTTGCAGAGAGATTTTTTATAAATGAAATGGAGTTATTTTCAAACAAATTTCAATAATATATAAATTAAGAAGTTTAATATCACCGGTTTAAATCTTAAAAGTTAGGGGATTCGACCTAAAAGCGCCTTAACCACATATTCTAGCTCTTGTCTTACTACTTGAGCTATCCAATGGTGAATTTGAACATCACTTCTTCTTAAACCGTTAAAATGTTGGCAACCACCTTAATCTAGAAAACACTCAATTACAAAACTACCTTCCCAGGAAAGACTTGGTCATCGTTCTTGCAGGGAGATTTTTCATAAATGCAATAGAATTATTTTCAAACAAATTTTAATGATATATAAAGTGCTTAATTTTGATAAATTTCAGTAATTACATAAAAAAAAAAAAAAAAAAAAAAACTCCTCACACCTATTCCTATATATTAGATGATCTTCTTAAATATTGCAACCACCTTATTGTAGAAAAAACTCAATTACAAAAGGACCTTCCCAGGAAAGACATGGCCGTCGTTTTTGCAGGGAGACTTTTCATAAATGTAATAGAGTTATTTTCAAACAAATTTTAATAATATATAAAGATGCTTATTTTTGATAAATTTTAATAATTACATAAAACAGAAAAAAAAATCCTCACACCTATTCCAATATATTAGATGAACATCACATCTTAAATATTGGCAACCACCTTATTCTAGAAAACACTCAATTACTACTACACTACCTTATCAGGAAAGACTTGGCCGTCGTTTATTTGCAGGGAGATTTTTCATAAATGTAATAGAGTTATTTTCAAACAAGTTTTGATAATATATAAAGATGTTTAATTTTGATAAATTTCACTAATTACATTAAAAAAAAAATCCGCGCACCTGTTTCTATATATTACATGAACATCACATCTTAAATATTGGCAACCAACCACCTTACTCTAGAAAACACTCAATTACAAAACGACCTTCCCAAGAAAGACTTGGCCCTCGTTTCTTGATAGGCATTGGAAAATTTTGAATGTAGAAGAAGAAGAAAGTATTAGGAATTGTTTATTAACATTATTTTTCATTAATTAGTAAGTTTTGCAGAATAGTAATGCTGCATTTACTGATTATTGTCTCGACTGATACATCCTGACTGACGTGGCAGATGACATGGTATATGCCATCTCATCTGCCACGTCAGTTTATCACCACATCATAACACTTTAAAAAAAAAAAAAACAAAAATCAATTGAAAGTGATTTGCACGATTGGAAGACGCCCAAATTCAAAATTGCCTCCCAAAATTCATTTTTAACAAATTTTCCCCTAAATCAAATTTCACTCATTCCCCTAAATCAAATCTCTCCCAAAAATGAAATTGCTCTCCCACCACCACCACCCTACCACCAGCACCGCGGGCNACTACTTCAGCATTAATGGGTAACGGAGACGCACTCGGGGGTCCCGCTGTAAGATTCCTTTTAAGTTATTAATTCCTTTTTGGGTTGGGCTTAGGAATAGGAATTCTTGTAAAACTAGGTTTAATCTCTTAAACCTAGTATATAAATATACTTTTCTCTTGTTATGGGTGTGAGAATAATTCATTCATTGTAAACGAGAGAGGTGAGGCATATTGCAATAATATTGACTCAGCTGGACGTAGCCTACATTGGATGAACCAGGGTAAATCGCGCGTATTATATTCTTTGTTTACTGTTTGTTTTGTTTAACTATTATTATTTTGTTCCTGTTGCTTCTCTATTTCATTCAACAGCAACACTATGCATTGTGTGGCTCATTTTAACGAATTGGTCATCAACTCCACTATCTAACAACAAACAGGAAGCTCTGAGATTTTCAATCAATGAAAGCATAGTATTCCTTGCTCTTTTCAATGTATATACATCTCTAAACAAACCCAACCCCACTCCAATTTTCAACAAGTAATCCGTTG